GAGTACAGCCTCCCCAGGGCCGGACGCCGCATTGAGAGAAAAGATCAAAGGTGAAATGGTGAAAAGGCTGCTGGCTGAAAATATTTGCTCATATCCTTGCAAGGTACATGGTCAAAACAATTTTGCTGTTTGAAAAATGGAAGGTCTTTTATTGTTGTGAAACACATGGCATTAATTAAGCAAAAATATAACGCTAACAAAAATGGCTCGCTTGATAAAGTAGTAAGAGCGCATGCAACAGCGAACTAATAAATCCGCGGATGAAATATGGCGTACCCACTTGATTGTCTGTTGCGTATTCCCCGCGATCTATTCAGTGTCTTATCGGGAAATAAGCGGCAAGCATCCAAGTGGGTTGACCATATTTGATCCACGGGTCAGTTTGTCCGTTGTTCTGAATGCGCTCTAAGTCATCAAGGTACATGAAGCGGATACGCAGGTACAGTTACTACCTAAATTGTCAAAGAAACTAACACATATGTTGAAATAAGACACTGTTTAAAGATGCATACAAAGTCAATTTTTTGTCACAAAAACCAACCAAATGCCAGCATATAGTTTCAAGTAGTATAACTAAGAGAATTACCAAAAGGCATTGTTTAATTTTACTCGAAAATGATGTTTGAACAGATTTTTCTGCTGGCATTCTAAGCTGTATGTCAATGGGGCAGGAAAGTAGGTCACGAAAGTAGGTTAAATATACAACCATAAATTTAAAGAAAGGGGCAGTCTAAAGGTCTTTTATGGCTGATCGAGTGATCTATTCAGTTTATCCCTTAGCATGTCGAATTTATTTGAGTCATATAAGAATCCAGTAGAAGTGGTTTACATGTGTTACTGGGAATCCACGCTCCACCGATGCTCGGTTCGTATGTACCTTTAAGTTTTATCAATATACAACATGTTAATAGCCCAATTTTCTTTGGATATAGATACAAAATTTTGAGATAGAACAAGCTCATGGATACGTAAATTGAAGATCCGCTGGGGTACAGGCCTGTCCACTCCTGCGTCCAATGACCGCACCAAGAACTGTGCAGTGATGGATGGAAATAAGCTTTCTTGTGGAGGGTAGTCACTTGTGATGAATTAAACTATGCTGTATGCGAGCTTGATAAAGTGTGATCAAAACAAACACTGACATTGTAATAATAGTTAAGATACCCCAGTATCACCAAAATATTATTCAGTCACTAACGGCAAAAACAGTCCAAATCTTTTGATTTGCAAATCCTTTTATTGTTTTCCAACTGAAAACAAATGTTTGATGATGATTATTAATTATGGACATTATCATCATAATGGACACAATTTCAGTGAATAATAGTACAATAAAGAATACACTATAAATTGCTGTCTGAAATTTGTTGGCTCCTCACAATGGGTACGTTATAGAAAATGGAATGTAGCGCCTGTGAAAACACGTGTCCCTATATGACAATCAATATTAATCTCACATAACTAGCTGTCTAATATCAACACGCACGTTGTAAACAATGACTTTGGGAGATCCTTTAGGAAAATATTATCATTATATCCATTCCACTTGTTTCAAAATGCCTTATCATGTAAGTCAAATTCATGGGTAAAACCATGGTGATTTTGATACAATAGATAATTTCTACAATTAAAAAGGTGTTAGCTGGTCAAAAAGGTAACGTTATTTACATAAAGTATCTATTTACATAAAATTATCCAGTTAAGAAAGACAGGCAATGAACCTTGTTTTGAAAAATTCAGATGAATTGTGGCAATTTCAACATCAATCTGAATCGTATTTGCACTAAGTGCTCTCTTCAGTCAGTTGAGGAGATGACACGTAAATGGGTTATTAGTAGCACTATACTTGCACATGGTCCAATGACCAAGTATTAAGACGTGGACTCGTGTCCTCCGAAATGGGTCAATTTATTACAAACGTTGGTCTTATGGCCTCAAGACCTCGTGGGTAAACGGTAGCACTCATATGCACATGGCCCAATGACCAAGTATTTTAATATGTTAAAACACGTGGACTCGTGTCTTCCGAAATGGGTCAATCTCATACAAACACTGGCCTCATGACCTCGTGAGTCGTGGCTGGTCAAAGGTACATGTACGAGGGGATATTAACTGAAACCCATAAACAAACGTGAGATAACTGATAATTCATGATAAGATTGCGCTGTAAGAATGAATCGTTTCGGAATTTTGTCTGATTTTCCTCAAAAGGTAACATAATTTGCTTAGACAAAGATAGATTGCAATCTGCTCTTCTACTTCTGTCACCTGCCATGTTGTGTTTAAGGAATTATTGTAAATGTGAAATTAAAGGAACTGTTTATTAAATACTTTAAAAACCAGTGCATTTTAAACAATGTATGCACTTTACCCTTCAAGACCGTGTGTTCTACCTAAGATCTAATAAACGGATATATTAGATCTTAGGTTCTACTAAGAGCCATATGCGTCTTTTGGACGGGTACTATTCTAGAAATGCATAATATTAAACGCTAAGAAACGCTACGCATTACCGCAGAGAAAATATAGCTTTACAAAATGTAATAATAACGGAAAGAGCGATTTCAAGTAAATAAGCACATAAAAGAGTTGCAATTGCAAAAGAAAAGTAAAAAAGACTGATGTAAGCTTCAAATTCCGGAAGCCCTGCAAATTCAATAAACATCCAAAATGCTCTAACACCTTGCCTGCATTTCACTGAATGGTGTGTGGGAGCCTGGCGAAGTTGGAGCAGCTGTTCGATAGCCTGTCGTTCAGTTCAACGCTTTAGTTCTTGTATCTGTGATAACCCCGCACCAAAGGGAGCAGGTGCCCTCCGCAGTGACCTTGACCGACAAAGGGAGCAGTGTCACTATAGCGCCTGTCCAGGCATGTGCATGACTTATCTATACTGGCCATAAGTTAGCAATTAACCGAGTTATACCGTAGCTCCGTAGCTCCTAGTCGCATATTTATGCCGTTGTGTTTTTTCCTTGAGTTGCATCATGTGCAAACTCAAAGGATGCACTGTTTTTCTTCAACGATAATTCAATATGAAAAAACGTCATAATCGCCCAATTTTCACCATTTAAACGGGCCACAATTAACATGGTTATTAAATCTAAGTTAACACTGTATGTTCCGCCCATCTGTCGCCCTAAACATTGTAATAAATTTCCATCAAATTCGCAAATCGTTTAAATACAGGAAGTGACATATTTATTGAGTAAAAAATGCTGAACTCCTAAGCTTTTTTTAGACCAAAATGTTCTAACAGATTTATGCAAAGTGACGATGATTGGTATCTAATTTTGGACAACATGGTGAATTTAGAAATGCTACTGAACTTTGTAAAACTAATTATTTACAATCTTATGTTGACTAAAATATTTTTTGCGCTTTAGGGTTCGAACCTACATGAAGGGAAATTCATTTATGGGGATGTTTGTGAATCACATGTTCAATTGAATCAAAGCGGGAGTCTAGATCTTAAACAAAAAATTGTTTTGCATACATGGAAGCTGTGTTCCAAACATTAAAATTCAGATATAATTTTTTTAGTTATTTTTCTATAGTAATAATGAAAAATGTCCATGCTTGATTTCAATGATTTGTTGAATAAATGCTTTTAGGTATATTTGGTTCATCTGTCAGTGTAACACCGTGTTTGAATCCTTTTTTATCATACAGAGCTACAGATATAACATTGGTATGCAGCTGAACATTTTATAAACTTGCCGGGGATATTGCTACAGGATTTGACTTCTTTGAAAAGTGGTAACTGGCAGTCAAAAGACAATGGTAAAAATAGCCAGCACTGTCTCTCTCGTTCTCACTGATTGCTCATTATCACAACACCAATGCGTATAATCACCTTCGTCTCTTGGAAAGCTTAAGTATTTTTAGAGCCCGTTCCCATTCCAAATCGACATATTTCATTATTCAAACCGTTTTGAACAGTGACATAGAAAAAAAAATCTTGGTTGCAAAATGCGTTACATTTGCGAAATGTGTGTTTCTAGATTTTCTTTAATGCAAAGTGCGTTGCAGTTGCAAAAAAATTCGTTCGATTGGAACATGCAGCTCCACAGGGGTTATCCGGCTACGAGAACTATAGCGATGTCCTGAGCTGCAGGTCACCTCACAGCTGCTTAAACTTCCCCAGGTTTCCCATAAACCATTTAGTCAGATACGGGCACGTTGTAAGGCATTTTGGATGTTTATTGAAAGTTTCTTCCGGAATTTCAAACTTACGTCTAGTACCTGTAGTAGCGCCGCATTTTGCAAATGAACACATTTTGAAACAATTTGCAAAGTGCGCGCGGTATCAAGATGCGGCTCTACAACCCGCACCAAAGGAATCGCCCCCCCCCTCCTCTGCAGTGACCTTGACAAACAATGTAAGTGAGCACTGTCACCAAGGGGTCTGTCCAGGTATGTGAAATAGCCAAACTGGGGAAGATTTAACCAAGTTACGGTTCCCAGGTCAGTTACCTGCTAATAGAGCTCCCAGTCTTTGTTATTGTTGTTAAACGTGATGTTTCCTTTGAGAATGACCAGTTGATTCTACTGCCATTGATATTTATTTAAGTTTTCCCGAATAAAGATCATCTAGCACATGCATTAAATGTAACAATACATGTAAATTGTACAGTATACAGCGGTACTCTCCCTCTCTCTCATTCGATAACTGATAAACCACAAAACAAAACATCTGTTTTGATTTATCATTTTAAGTTGTTTAGACCTGTTTGTTATACATCATTGGTAACAAGTATGTGTTTTAGTGAATTACTATACTAATAACGTACAGTATATTCTACTTTTACTGGTGTAAATATGCTTTAAGAATGGTTTCGCATGACTTTATTTTGCACATCATACCATCAGGTGCACACCTTTTATCCCAGGGTCGCTAGAAATGACGCATGTAAATACTTCTGTTAATATCCCACGTTAGCTGCCAAAGAAATAGTATAAATACAGAGCTTCAGCACTGGGATACACAAGGATACCACTGAGATACATTTTATTGGTTTAGAGTCCTGTATACAGAATCGTTTAGGGATGAAGAGTGTCCTTGTGGTCGTGGTGGCAACACTATTTCTGTCCAGCAATCTTCATTCTAGCTCTGCTTCTAAGCACTGTCCGACGGACCGCGGCTACAGATGGGTCGGCTCGTACTGCCTGCGATTTGTGAACAATAAAGTGTCGTGGGACAGCGCCAGTGACGTTTGTAAGAATGAGGGTGGGCATCTGTTGAGGTTAGACGACCGGTCCAAAATGAATTACCTTACCAAATGGATGCGGGACAACGATTGTAAGTAGTTCAGGACAAATAAAGGCATACATATCAGTTATATTGTATCATCACTCATGTCTAAATTTTATAATACATTGTGTGAGGTCAGAATTCCCGGTATGTTATGTGTTAGGTGTTAGTGTTACAGATCTGTTACAGATATGTTACATTAATCAACAATTCTGACCTCTTTCTAAACAGTGTAACACCAATGTTAGTGTAGCAGATCTGTTGACAACTACGTACAGTTCCTGTAACAGACGGTGTTACACCAAACATCTCTGTTAAATAAAATGTTAAATTAATCAGCGCAAACTAAAAAATGTTAAGCTAAAATTTTCAATTGCTTATCCGTTTCTATAGGGATCAACGAGGGGTTATCGCAGAATTATTTTAGCTTATAGGCTTTCGATATTTAGTACGTCAGGAATAAAACATTTGAATTCCTCTTAATTTTAGAAAGTTTGACCACCACGTGGTTAAGCTGGTGTTACATCTTCAAGAGGTCAAGACTGAATATGTTAGTGTTAGCAGACATATTTAGTTTTGGCCTAATTTCGATTTTGCCGTCTTGAACTAAAATTTATCTTGCGCTGATATTCTGTTTTGAATGAATATTTCCGATTTGAAGCTATTTTTCAAATTTAGACGATGGAAATGTATGAATTGAGATAAAATATTTATGTCTTGAACGTATTTTTGATGTCTTGAAGGAAATTTTCCCGTCTTGAATTTTTTCCGCTTTGGCGTGCCATAGGTGACACACACCAGGAAATGGGTCAACATGGGGCTATCAGCCTGTTAACAACATGCTGCAGCAGAATAGCAGGATGTTGACCACATGTCAACAGACTGCTTACCTGAACTCCATGTTTTCTTTTTTGGGTTACCAGGAATGTTAACACATCTGTAACACTAACACCTAACACCTAACATACCTGGAATTCTGACCTCATCCATTGGGTACTTATCTCTCTCTCTCATATCCTTGTAAACGCTGAAGGACATGCTTGTTAAGATTTCGAAGCAATCCCCTTTCAATGTATAAATATGACTTGTTTCAGTGTGGAACTGGTATTGGGTAGATGGCAAAGACATTGGCGATAAAAACTTTGTGTGGTCATCTAATGGCCAACAGGTAGGCTCCAATCTGTGGCTCATTGGCGAACCCAACCACTTATTGGGCAGTAGACCGTTCTGTGCACGACTCAAAGCCGGGTTCTCCGATGGCCTTGCAGATACTGGATGTAGCTATGGCAGTCAACCCTATGTTTGTGAAAATGAATCCGGTATGAGAAAAAGATACGATTTATTCATCCATGAGCTAGTTGAAAATCAAAGGTGCAATATATATATATATATATATATATATATATATATATATATATATATATATATATATTTATAGCCTATATATATATATGGCCCATTAACAAAAATGAGTGAAAAAACACAACCCTAATTGCATTAATTGTACATGTCATAACTGTAACTAATTGCTTTCATACCTTGTTTAAATATTAAGAATGTTGACGTCAATTTATGCATCGCTGTAAAATTTCATGCTAGCATATATAGGCACTATACTATCACCGTTTGACATGAGCGCAGCCAATCAGGCCAATGGTGAACATTTGGTTTAATCTTATTCCAATGTTTTCGATCAAAGTCATTTCAGGCTTAGTTCTAAGATCTAAAGCTTGTTATATAATCGATAACAACTTTATTTAAAGCTTTCTTGTCGTGGTTTGATGCAGTAATCGAAACCATGGAATATATCCTATATGATATATTTTCTTGTCAAAACACACATCATGCAGAAAGAGAGAAAGATTTGTTTTGATATCCCAATTTTTTATGTCAACGGAAATATTATGCAAATGCTACAATGTTTCTTGTTTATACACATTTAACATGCATTTTAGAAAACGGAGAATGGGGAGAATGGGGATCATGGACCCCCTGTTCTCTTTCATGTGGGAGCGGACGTCAATCTCGAAGTCGTTCCTGTGATAACCCAAAACCAAATGGTCTTGGGGCAACGTGTCCTGGTTCATCTTATGAAATACAAACCTGCAACACACAGCCATGTCCAGGTAAGTAGAACCAAATGTGTTTTTTATCAATATACAAATCAAGCCATTTATACCATACACACTGAAGCCAGTGTAATGTCAGTGACCGAGGCGTTTCATCAATGATTCATATGTGAGGCAATGGTGAATCTTTTATTTAAGTATAACATTCATTTCACCCAAAACACGACAACACCATTACGACAGCAAGTGATGGCACGTTTAGATTTGGGTACACACATATTAGGCATATACCGCCCTTCAATTTCAGTTGACGGGGCTTGGGCAGCCTGGGCCGGTTGGGCCCTATGTTCAAAGACGTGTGGGGGTGGTACTATGATGAGAAGCCGCACATGTACAAACCCGAAACCTAACTACGGAGGAAAAGACTGTGTTCAAGGGAATGCAGCGCAAACCATAAAGTGCAACGAGAACGATTGTCCAAGTATAGTAACACAGTTCTTCTAACTATCAAATTAAAAATGCCAATGAAGTTTTATATACTTTCAGTGTATTTTATTTTTTTCAATTTTGAAGAATCCAGAAAATAAGGTCGTAATTGATGGTATCTCTAGCATAAGATGTTGCATTATTTCATTTCAGTTGACGGAGCTTGGGCAGACTGGTCCGGTTGGACCAAATGTACAAGGACGTGTGGAGGTGGTACCATGATGAGAAGTCGTACATGTACCAACCCAAAACCTCAACACGGAGGAAAAGACTGTACTCAGGGGAATGCAACGCAATTAACACAATGCAATTTAAGCGATTGTCCAAGTAAGCCGTCCAAAGTAATAAAACAGCGTGTCTTTTAACCCTTCATGTACGCATTCGTCCGTTAATGTTATTATTTCGAACTGCAAAATGAAAATGAGATTAAACATTTATAAATTAGAAGACATCACTGGACGACTGAGGTGGTCATTATCATTAAAAACATTATCGCAACAAATGATTATCGCAACAAATGATTTCACTCATCTTCCTCCAGCGTGTCAACTTCATGACGTCCCTGGGACCACTAGATCCGTGCTTGGCCCACGACTGAAGGAGAACGAGTCAGTGCGATACTATTGCTTGCCGGAATATAAGCTTGTTGGAGGCAGCGAAATACGTACATGTCAGGCGAATGGGTCTTTGTCTAACGAAGAACCTAAATGTACCAGTAAGTTTTAGTTCAGTTAATTAACGTACTTCATCTTAGTACTTTTTCAATGGTTACTCTGAGTTTGTGGTAGACAAGCGTGGTGTTACATACTGTAGCAACTGAAATTGGAAAAAGTCTAAGATGGAACTCAAGCGTCTTCGGGTTTTAAAAGATATAATAAAAACTTGGTATGTCTAGATAATTTAAATAAAATAATACACATGATAGTCACCGTGAATAACAGACAGGAACTGAAGAAAACATAGCGGTAGAATGAACGGAAAAATGCTTCCAATTTGTTGCTATTCTGTCTTGATAGAAACAAATTCTCTCAATAGTCAGATTTACTTATTCAATTATCTGCGAGGTACTGTTTTCAGAATGTTGTGGAGAGGCACGAAATATCCCAAATGGACTCCCAGACGTGCCCTCTGGCCTTTGCTTCGGAGATACTGTTACCTATCAGTGTGAAAGCGGCTATAAATTATCCAATGACACTACCATCACTTGCATGTCCCCAGATGAATGGCGATACATAGAATTACCTAAGTGCGAAGGTGATTTTAAGATCTATTGTTGTATAGATATCGCTCAACATGCTTTTTTGGATTAAGAGTGGTAGAGCGATCTTTTCAAAGGGTTGAAAGTATAAAATATAGTAGCATCATTTTTTCAGGCATTGTCTACTAGAAATACCTGAAATCAACTTTCAAATAAAATGAAAGTTGAAGTTAAGTAAATGTACGTTAATGTAAAGGTTTTTTTTTTTTTTTTTTTTTTTTTTTTTTTATCTCGGGACCAGAACTAAGTGCAGGTTTGCAATGTGGGTCATCACATATAACAAATTGATGATCGAAGTGGATGCACTTCAAGGACTGGAGAATGAATATATATCAGCCGATCTTAATATTTTAAGTATATATACAAGGTAGAGTGATCGTCATTTTCAGCGGATGGAAACTGTAACTCCAGTGCCATTGCTGGACCAGCAGGTGGTTATAAAGCATGTTCCGGAAGTGACACGGATAAAGTATGCTATATGCATTGTTCCAACGGTAAAACATACACGAGTGACCATAGTATATTTGAATGTGGGGCTAAGACAGGCTGGGAGTGGAAAGTTCCTATGAGAGGTGGAAACAATTATTTGCGAGGAACTGTAGGAAAATGCGAAGGTAGGTTATCCCCCCCCCAAAAAAAAAAATGCTTATCTTTCTCTCTTTTAGTTTTGTGTATATAGTTATTTCTATTGATTCCGAATGCATGATGTCCCCCCGTATCGTTAAGATGTACGTGACCATCAATCCGTCCCTCTATATATGCAAATATCATGCAGTGTATTCATATTACAGTACCTGACGATCCAGTGAGGCTTTTAATGTTCCTTGAGGGATGTGATTTAACACTACAAACCTCTGAATTGACGGAAGCTTTAAAAAAGGAAATAAAGAAAGAAATGATGAAAAAGTTGGATGCTCTAAATATATGCTCAGATCCTTGTCAGGTGAGACAGAATTTACAAATATGTTATTTCTTTTTCATGTGATCACATCGATGTTTAATAGTAATGATACTGCTTTGTGACCGCCAAGTAGAATACAACCGACTAAAAGAAATTAATACACGTGTTTAATTGCACGCTTATCTTATTACATTTAGATCAGAGACATTGAAATAGAAACCATCAAAGCCAATATTTATAGACGAGTAGTGCCCCAAGAGAAGCTATTACGCATGAAGATCACTTTATTTGCTGCTCCTCCCAAAGGGTCCGTCACCACCGAGCAATCTGCAAGAATAGAACTGTCTAAGGCCATGAAGTTGTTGAAGTAAGTGGTAACACACGCAGTCATTAACATAATGAATTTATTGAGGTGTGAACATTGACTCCAAGAAGCCTGTTCATGCATCCTTTGAGCTGCTGTTATATAATTTTGTTTGAAAGGGTTTGATATTTAGATATATTTGTGTTTTTCTTTTTATTTGTAGCACGAAGGCGGCAGCACTTAAGCAGGCGATATTATCCCAGTCCATAACGTTACATATCAATGGCACTCCCGCAAAAGTGGGAGGGACAAACTTGCGGATTTCCGGACCATCTTTGGCGTGTCCTGCAGGTTCCATTAGGAAAGCCTTTGAATGCTGTATGTAAAAACTAAAATAGCGTTGGTTTAAATGAATATGTACATTAATAAAATAATTATAGAGAAATATACCTGGTATTGAATCTCATATTTAACATATTTCTAGCTGAAAATGTACGAGTAAAATGTACAATGCTTTTGAAAAGTTTAAAAAGCAGAATGGAAGCGCTTCTAAATATTAACAGATTATTGACTGTGTAATATTTTTGGATTAACAGTCAACTGCCCGGCGGGAACATACCATAATGAGGCTGAAAAGAAATGCTCCTCGTGTCCATTTGGTCAGTATCAGGACGAACGCGGTCAGATGTCCTGTAAATTGTGCCCAAATGGCACAACTACGGATAGAATTGGGGTCACCAACTCTTCTCAGTGCAGGGGTAACTTCCAAAATTGTAAAATGAGTAGTTCATTGCATCCCGTTAAATATGTGATGGTATTTTGAGAGTTTTGTTTAAGATTTCTCAAAAGAAAATTTAGCGGCACCGTTGAAAGAATAGACTCATCTTATTTAATGTTACCAATGTATTAGTGGGATTGAAAAATATGGTAACTAATTTTTCAGGTATTGTATAGTTTACTTGAAATACATGTACCTGCAATCAACTTGTACAAAAAAATAACCATTGTATTTTTAGGGTTTGTCACACATAGTCTTTTTTCCCTTTTGCTCACTGTATGATACTTTGTTTATTACAGAATACGAAGGATGCGACTGTGGCATCCACCCATGCACCCTCAATGATACTGCCTTCAAATGCGACTGTCTTCCCGGATATGAGGACACTAATGGAACGTGTACAGGTATAAGATACATGCGTGTACGCCTCTGTGAAGGTTATCAATTGTGGGGTTTTTTTTCTTTATAAAACGTTTTGAAATATAACACATTCTTAAGTGGTTCTTTGGGGACAGGTGGAACACGTAATAGCATGCGATGGTGTCTTCAGTCGGTTATATGAGTGCTGTTCTTCGTTTGCAGATATTGACGAATGCTTTACTGATGTTTGTCCTCCAAATTCCCGCTGCATCAACAAAGAGGGATCGTATAGATGTGAATGCTTGGCTGGCTTCAAGGGAGGGCCTTGTACTGGTAGGTACACGGATTAGGTACCATTCTTGTTTACAGCCAATTGGGAACAATCAATGTTAAAGGCAATTATAAAATATAATACACGCCAGATATACATATATGTGCACAGGTTCATTTCATATTCAATGTACATTGTCTCAATTCAGATATAGATGAATGTATAATCCCCTCCACGTGTTCCGACCCCAGGACTCAGTGTGTTAACACCGTGGGGAGTTATGACTGCATATGTCGTCGTGGGTTCTACGGAGATAACTGTGGTAAGTTGGTTCATGTTAACATTCTCCATATATTGCAAGGTGAATATCAGATGATAAAATAAAGCCGATTAAACCCGAATATACTGTTACGTTAATTATGTCAATTTATGTCGATATAATTGTATTTATTTCCACCAAATTCCGTGCTGGATTGACATGTAGCTTGCTTTTACTCCAATTGAGAACGGCATATATGTATACCTCGAATACACTAAATGCCTTTTTGTTTTTCAGAACGTAACTGCCCGGTGGGCTTTGTGCAAGGTGACAGTAGCTGCTACTTGATAACGGAGAAGATGGTGACTTCTGACGATGGACGTCTCATGTGTGAAAGAGCTTACAACGGGTCACATCTGGTTGACGTCAAGGACAAAAGGACTTTCAAATTTGTCACAAAAATTCTTCAGGCCTCCGGATCATATTGGACAGGCAAGTCGTTGATAGTTTATGTACTGTCAATGTGTGTGTTTGCAATATTCTGTAATTGTTTCATACCATACAATATCGCCATGGTTTGCGTCTATGTAAAACAGCGCCTTTATCAGAAACGACTTGATTTCTCAAACCCCATCCACAGTTACACTGTTGTTTTTATACTTCCGCACCAAATGATGGTGCATATTATTTTACATTTTAAAGGTGTGAATACCAGCATTTGATGTTCAGAATATCTCTTATGTAGCTAATAAACATCAGTACAAATTGGTAGAAATATTTTTCTTTTCTAGGTTTGAACGACCGATCACAAGAAGGAAAATTCGTCTACAGTGACGGGAGTCAAATGTCTGCGTATAGTGAATGGGGCAACGGTAACGCCCAGCCGTCGTTCAATGACCCTACGAAAAACTGCGTCATTATAGACGGGTCAGCAGCGTTCATGTGGTCAGTTGTTGACTGCAACGAGAAACACTTGGCTCTTTGTGAGCTTGAAAGAGGTTAACTGGAAAGATTAACATCGAGTAAAAACAAATCTATAAGAGCTACAGGTATCACAGTTAATCATTATCCATAATGGTGAGGAGCTGTTATGGCTCTTGGTCAATGGAGATTGATGAACGTTTGATGAATATTTGTCTCTGTATTCCATGAACGCTTTAGTGAAGTGAGACGATCGACAGATGATAAATGTATGAGGCCACTTTCCGACCCTAAATTTAATTTCGGGGGATTTTGTTTTAAGAGCTTGAGGGCTTGAAAATTCACTGAATAAGAATAAATCAACTTTATCAAGCTGTACACATGGATATGTGTTTTAACAGTGGGATATTTTTAAGGTTTCAGTTCTAATATGCATGTGGCATTGTTTAACAGGAATATATTTAGGAATTAATGTAGCTTGCAAAGAAAATGAATCAATGCTAATTATTTAACGAGTCTTTTTTCCTTATCATGCAATAAATTACGTTTTGGTTACCGATTGGTTCAACAGTGTTATTCCAATTTCATTGATTTAATAAATTTGATTCCAGAATAACGAATGTGTTTTAATTGACAACCAGAAACGCACAACTACAATTAAGAGAATTAATTGTATTTATGTAGCAAATGGTTTGTTTTAGTGGTGCTATTAACTTTTTGGTAATACATCAACGTTTTGTTTGGGTCTTGTGTCTGCACATTTTGACCTTAAGTAGTTGACCAAGACAAGGTGTTAACAGATGTCCAGGGTTAAGGAATGTCTTAGCTGCTGTGTATCAAGGCACACACAAGTATATTCTATGAAAGATGTTTTGGAGATTAATTCCATTGAGCTGCATTCAGTGAGAAGTCATTCAGCTTTGTAGCTACGGATATATTTACCCGCAGTTTTAGCAGCTACACTGTATTATTACTTACGTTTCTTTATTGTTATTTGTACACTGGTTACCAGTCATCACTTTTGTGGTTTCAAGATTTGGGGACGACTATTTGTTACTTGGTGACTATTTTCTTCGGTTTATTCAGTTTTCCCCAGCCACCAGTTTTGGTATTCAAGATTCAGCGACGGCTGTTGACGGTTATTTGTTACTTGGTGACTTTATTTTATTTGGACAATATTCACTTTTCTCCAGTCACCAGTATTTGTTATTCAAGTTTCGGCGACGGCTGTTTCCTTTTACGGGATGACTTCAAGTTTTGGATCACACACAGGCTAGTATTTGTTTTCATT